GTCGTTGCCATCTAGTTGAATGGGGTTGAGGTCTTCTATGGTCGATTCTGCAGCTTTTACCATATCAGGATCTGTAATGACGTCCTCTCTCTAATCACAGATCGACCTCAGCCCTGTTAATTGCTACTCTTTTGCTTTGCCATTCATTTGTTGAGTGACCGTACAATTCAGGGCGATGCAGTAACATTCCCGAGATATGCGTTGTTCTCCTCGTATGCTGAATATTCCCCATGGAGTTGGAAATTTGAAGACTTGGTACAAGCTGGAGGGGATGGATCTCATGGTGTATATCCATGGTCGCCCTATTATGGCATTGTATGTCGTGTCCTGGTCCATGATATGGAATGTGTTTTCTAGAGTGACACCGCCGGCCAGGACGGGGAATGTGATTTCTCCATATGTTTGTTCAACTGCATTGTTAAAACCTGTTAGCGTGATGCAACGCGGCACTATCTTATCCTCGAGTTTCATTTGTGCAAGTACTCGAAGGTGGATAATGCATATGTCACTCCCATCGCCTACCATAATGTGTCTCACATCTGTATCTAAAATTTGTAAAGTGATAACAAGGGCATCATAGTGAGGGAAAACAAAATCGTGGGTATCTGACTTATCAAAGATGATAGTTTCTTCGAGTTCGTCATACCATTCGTGAGTGATCGACCATTTGAGCTTATGGGTTGTGATGAACTTTACACTATTGATAAAAGCGTCGTCGCCGCCACCAATGATCATTTGGGTGGTGCGGGTTGGTGAGGGTGGTTTCGGCGGTTCCTGATGTTGTTCACGTCCTCTAGCAAAGTTGGTCTTTCCCCGGTCGCTCAGCAATTCTTTGAGGTGTCCTTGTCGGAGCATGTTTACGACCTCCTGTCTTAGGGCGATGCCGTCCTCGGTTTTGTGCCCTCGTTATTGGTGGAACTCGCAAGGGATGTCTAACTTTCTGGTGGTTGGATCTGACCTCATCTTTTGTGGCCACTTTACCTTCGGTCCGAGCTTCTCCAATGCGTAGACTATTTATGAAGGTGACACACAATTGTGAGCGGATAACAAATGGGGCATACCTCTCTCGTTCCGGTAAGCCCCTATCCTTGGTCTGGGTGGGCCCCTCTTCATAGGGGGGAAGGGAGTGCAATGGTGCTTCTGACATATGGTAGATGTCGTTTCTGGTTGGGTCATGGAGCTACGAGGTCCCTTCTAGTATCATTTCTTCGATCGTTCGTGGACTCGGCTTGTACTGAGGTCAATCGCTGAGTCAGCCCATTGAAGTCGTCCTCGTCTGCTCTAACCTCGGCACAATAGGCATTGCTTATTTCATCCCAAGTAGTTGGGGGATACTTCATAAATCGACTTAACAACTTTCTTATCGCCCTTGAACCATTTCTATTTAACCCGTTCTGGAAAGCTGACGGTCATTCCTTCTGATACGTTTGGTAAGGTCATTCTTAATCGTTTGAATCGGGCGAGGAAGTCCCTCAATCCTTCTCCCAGTGATTGTTTGATAGCGAATATATTGTTCACTCTTGCCTCTACCTTTTTGGCCTCAGCATGGGCCGCTACAAACTTATCGGCCATCCCTTCGAATGTTTCAATTGAACGCGCGGGTAGTTGAGAATACCATGTTAATGCTCCTCCGGTGAGGGTCTCGCCGAATTTTTTCAACAAAATGGAGGATACTTGTTCCTTGGCGAGGTCGTTGCCTTTCACGGTGATGACATAGTGAGTTACACGGTCCTCGGGATCGGGCGTACCATCATATATGTTTAGGTAGTGCGGCATTTTGAAGTTTTTTAGTATGGCATGTGGGGCGGCTTCATCACTATATGGTTGCTCGACAAACCGACCAGCATCTCTCTTTGGAAAGAGATGTGGGGCACCCGGTATTTTATCGACCCTTTCTTGGTGTTCTCTCATTTGGTACCGAAGCACTTTGTTCTCGTTCTCTATTTCCTCCATCTTTTTCAAAATGGTTGTGAGGGTGTCGCACCTGCACTATTAACTGTGTTGTGAGTAATACCTATCATTGGAGGAGGGAATGGGCCATGCTACTCGACTGTTGTTGGTGTAATGCAAGTTCTTGCATTTTCTATAACTGTATCCTCGGCGGGCTTGTGGAGGATGCTGGTTAGCGTGTTAGTTGGCCAAGCCTCGAGGAGCTTTTTTACTGCTGGCGGCGTCTCATTCATCACGGACCTGGAAGCTCCTTTACCGCGGGACGTCACGATACTATCGTGAGGAGGAGGTGACTCGCCTCGCCTGGGAGAGGCATTATATCCTCACCTTTTGTTTCAGAAAACTCATTGATGGTGTTCAAGAGGTTGGTTGTGAGGTCTCTCATTACACTCGTTCTTTCTTCTCCATTACCTGTTATATCAGATATGTGCGTACTAGGAAAAGGAATTTTGTTCTTATTTCTTTTTTTGTTAGCAATCCGTGCTAGTTGTAGATCTAGAGAAAACTAAAAATTTAACTAGGAAATCCCACAGATGTCGCCAAATTGTTTGACCAAAAAGTATAAACTTTCAGTTAAACTATTAAATTTTATGTAATGAAGGGTTAAACTTAGTTAATAATAATATCTCTAGATATAGAACATGACAGCTTGGATGACACAGGGTAAAGTCAGTGGGTGATTGAAAATAAGACACATTTAATATTCCAAAAGGTATGGATAATGATGGGGGAATAACTAACAATAACTAGCAATAAATGACATTTATGTAAATAGGCAAAAAGATTCACCCAATAATGAAGGAGATTGATGATTGTTCCTTCTGACAATGATGAATGACAGACAAATCCTCGAATGTTCGAACTATTCTCGGATCTGATGGAAAGATATTGAATAATGCGTGCAAGAATATTGTAAAAGGTAATATTTGTATCTTTGCTAGAGAGAGAGAATCTTCTTCTGAAAAGTGTTCTTATCAAGTTAATATTACATGTTCTACACTATTGTCTCTTTTTTTATTTATATGAGTCATATCCCTAACAAACCATAACAGTATAAGTGCAGAGAATATTCAATAGAATATTCTCTTTATTATCCTATTACAAAAACTAGTCGTTATTGTTATGTCCTTGGTACTCGACCTCGATCGTTGTTGACAGCCCAATCACGAATCTCACTGCTTCCTGGACGACCTCGATCGATACTTTCCTTAATGCCGCTTTACGCTAAATTTCCGTACGGCAAATTTTGGCCTATACATGTACTATTCTATTCAAATGGGCTTTCACGTCCAACAATAGAAGCTCTATACAAAATGTAGAGAGGGACTTTACACAAAATAATAATAATAATCTCACGTACGGTCCAAAATAAAAAAAAGTTTCCATGCTCTCCATAAAATAACTTTTTTAACTTCCCATCACCTCTTTTTCTTGAACTTCCACCTTTGCACATATGTATTAACATTTAGTGACATTATGATTCAACTTTGAATAACTTCTCCATAGTGAGAGCTTACCTTAATTTTATACTATTATATCACCTAGAAGATAACTAAATATTATCATCCATATAGGGTTAGGACTTAGGATTAATAGCTTGACAAATAAGCAAGTTTCCATTTACATTATGCTAAAGTAAGTTGATAATTGTGTATATAAGTAAAAAATTATTTTCACAATACATCCAGTTTATATGCGGCTGAGCAATATCACAACAAATAATAGACGTTATTTCCACCGTCTTCCATGTAGAAACACCAATTTATGTGTATTATTCATTATTTTATCACCTATTACCATCCAAAGTTTTAATATTTGTGTGATATCTTAATCAGAATTAGAGTAAGAGAGAAAATAAATTTTTTTTGAGATAAAAGAAATTCCTAATATTCATTTCGTTTCAAAAAAAAAAAGAGAGAGAGAAAATAAAATTTGTTGAGATAAAAGAAATTCCTAATATTCATTTGTTTATCCCTCAAGGCGTGAAAAAAGGCGTAAGGGGGCATTTGACATTAGGGGTGTCTGGTTTACCAATTAATTATGCATAGATATAATGCTTATGTATTGAATAATCATGCCGAAAGTTATGCGATGAATAATTTATCATATCTTTAAGAAATGTTTTTGTCTATAATTACTCTAATCATGTTAAGACACACTTTTATTTTTATACTATCATACATAAGATAGTATACAAGATTAGTGCATAACTTAAGTAGGTATTAGTACATAAGTCATACGAAGATTATTTTTTAATAATTGATAACCAAACATTGTGTATTATTGTACGTAGAATTTTATTATTTAGTGAATTTCACTTAATCCCCTCGACCTTTTGAGTGCTAGATATAATATTCCTTTCACCTTTTGAACGAGAAAATAAACTCCCTTGATATGCCGACCTGCTATGGTGCCCCGAAGTGGATAGGAGGGGGTCGAGTCCGTATCATCACGGAGCAGCAGCCTCGTCCGAATCTGATCTATTTACTCGACAATTCATGGTGACAGCTTCATGGTCACCAAAAAGTCCCAAGAAGCATCAAACCTATCTGATAAGACCCATGGAGCAATTCTTAAATAGCAACAAATAAAAATGAGTTGAATCGTCAGAAGTATTTCTAAATATCAAAATAAACCTCAATTAATATGAATTATGACATGTTCTTTTTCCGTAATTGAAAATATTAAGCAATGATATTCTATAGAATTTTGAAATTTCATACCTCTCGTTTTCTACCTGTAGTTTTTCTTTTAGTTTTTTAAAATTCATTTTGCTTCATGCAATATTCTTTTGTTAGAGCTTCAAATTTTGAATGTCTTTGGTCCATCTTGTTACTTGTAATATTGCTAGTAATGAAATTTGTTTCGCTAGTTACTTGTAATTTTCACGTAACTCTTACATGTTTAAAGGCAGTGGCGTACGCAGGATTTTTATAAGCAGTGTCACTATTTAACAGAGTGAACAATTGAATAAATTATTGTAATATAATATATCATATTATAAAAAGACAACTTAAATTATACTAACAAAACACAATTCAAGCACGTAACTATAATTCTCCTCGACTAGTTTTCATGTTTTGAAATGTATCCATAATAGCCTCATTAGAAATATTACTAAATACTTCTTTTTCTATATAAGGCACCAAACAACCACTCAAAAGCTCATCATCCATTCGATTACGCAAGTCAGTCTTAATCAACTTCATTGCTGAGAAAGCTCTTTCAACCGTAGCCGTAGCAACTGGCAAAAGTAAAGCAAATTTCACTAGCCGGAATACAAGAGGATAAGTCCCATGCTTCTTTGTCTCTACTAGTTTCTTAGAAAGATCACCAAGTCCCTTAAGATCGAAAAACCTTTTGTCATGATCTCTGACATCAACAATGTAATTCTCAAACTGAAAATGAAGGTCAACTATAGAATATTTATCAAAGTCATCAGGATATAGCTTCGCTAATCTCAATATCTTTTCAATGTCAAAACTTGAAAAAGAGTTAACTGGGTTCAAGCAAGCAACTCCAAGAAGCAATTCAGTTGTCACCTCATCAAAGCGGTTATTGAGTTCTTGAAATTGCCAATCAATAGTTTTACAGAATACTACAACATGGTAGTGATGAAAAAAATTGTACTCTGCAACTCTACGACGTGATCTTCCAAGGATAACATAAGGTTCATCAAAGTTAGGTATCAATATGTCGTATTTGATACAAAACTTAGATACCTCATCAATAAGTGAAGCCCAACCTTTCTCTCTTAGAAGCTGCAATCGATCTTTTGCCACTCTAACAAGTATCATAGCATTTGCAATATCTTGCTCCTTCTTTTGAAAGGCAACATTAAGCTCATTTGTGATTGCTAAAATAGTGCGCATAAAATGCAACATGAAGACAATCTCAAATGTTAAACATGCTTTGAGGTATCTCTTTGCCTTACACTTTTCTTCAAAACATGCATTAACAGCAATTGCGTACATCAATGATAGGGCCAAACATAAGAATAAAATTGTTAAAGGATTTGAAGTGAGAACCCCATCGAGTGTCACCAGCTCTAGCAAGACCTAATTCTTGATTTAAGCCCCTACCAGTTTCAAGCTCACCTTTACGTAATGCTTCTTCAATTTCTTCCGCTTGAGATTCGCGAAGTTCATCTCTACGCTTGAAAGAAGATCCCACCATATTTAAGATATCGGAAACAACCAACAAAAGTTCTTGCACTTCATCACATCTTTTAGACACTGCAACAAGAGTTAGTTGAAGCTGATGAGCAAAACAATGAATAGAATGGACACCTTTACTTTCTTTTTGCATCAAGATTTTAAGCCCATTTATATCACCTTGCATATTGCTTGCTCCGTCATAATATTGTCCCCATATGGAAGATGGACTTAAAGAATGTTGAGCAAGTAAACCAATAATTCCATTCTTTAGAGATAAAGTAGTAGTTTCACGAACATGAACAATATCAATAAATCGCTCCATCACACTTCCCCTTCAATCAACATACCTCAAAACAATAGCCATTTGCTCCTTACATGACACATCACGAGATTCATCAACTAATATGGAAAAGTGATCATTATTTAAATCCTCAATGATAAATTTAACTGTTTCCATCTTACATGCAGTAATAATATCCTTTTGAATGTATGGAGAAGTTAATTGATTATTCTTTGGAGCTTATTTAAATGCATCGGCAACATGATCACACCTTTTAGTATACCATCTAAGAAGTTCAACATAGTTACCTCTATTGAGAGATGATTCATCTTCACGATGTCCCCGAAATGATAATCCTTGGTGTAAAAGATATCTTATCACATCAACTACAGCCTCTAAACGAATCCGATATTCTAGCTTTTGTTGATCAGATTGTTTAGCAAGTACACTTTGAATGGATTGTTTTTGTCTCAACAAATCATCACTTTTCTTTCTTGACTGATTATGTATACTATTTGGTCCACTAATATGCATATCAAATCTTTCCTTCTTGTTCCAACTTGTAAATCCTACACTTGAAAATACATCTCCTCCCCCTTGTTTGATGCATTCATCTTGAAACAAATAACAATAGAAGCAAAAAGCTGCATCTTTTGTTACGTTATACTCCAACCAATCATATTCAGAAAACCATTGAGGATTAAAGCGACAAAATTTACCACAAAAATTTCTTGAGATGTTGAACTTAAATATTGAATTTTGGAAGTTGCAGTATAGTATCTCTTCATTGTAATTTAATCTGAATCAAAAATTCAAGTATCCACTTTATTCTTAGATAAATCCTAAATAAGTTTATTATAACTAGAAAATAGACTGAAATAAACTAGGAGAAAATCCATACTACACACTCATATACTCTAACTTCGACATTTACATTCATAAGAATCGGTCAAACTATGTTAACATGACCAGCACAACAATAACTTATAATTAACGATTTCATTAACTCCCAAAATCATTAAATACACCCAAAAAAATTAATTAAAGCAAGTGAATTGCAGTGTCTAGAAAATCACTAAACTATGTCTAGAAAATTGCAGTGTCACTAAACTAGTTGATGTACCTTTCTTTTTCTAGTTCTTGAAAAAAGTTGTCCCCCTAACTATGTTTTCGTTTTAGTTCTATAATTCATAATTCTTTGTTGAATTAACTCTAACTAGTTTTACTTTTGACATGTAATTAATTTCTTTCTAAATTGATCACATCGAAGCCAATATATAAATGACAACAACTTTTTGTTTGACTATATTTTTGTAATGATGAACAAGCTTTGAATATTTGTTCAAAGATTACTGCTACAATTTTGTAATACTCTTATTTGTTTTTCTAGATAACTTAAACTCTTATTTTTGTTATCTAATAACTTGGTCTATTACAGAAAACGGCAATCACTATTCATCAAGCTAAGCAAGTGATGAATAGTAGATTGATCAGCACGACAATAACTTATAATTAACAACTTCATTAACTCCCAAAATCATTAAATACACCAAAAAAATTAATTACAAAATAGATTCACAGTTCTAGTCATAAAGAAATAAAAAAAAGTAAAAGTACAAGTACTTAATAAAAAATTATCATCTAAAGAGACAAAGAATTAGTACTAACCTGATGCAATTTAGCTTCTTTGGAGTTTGAAAATTGAAAAGTGGGCAGCAGTACTTTTTATGCTAATTGAGGGTAAAGAATCGTTTTTAAAGTTCCTAATTCAGAAAGGTTTTTAATAAATTAGGGTCAAGTAGTTTTTATGCTAACTGAGGGCAAAGAATTGTTTTTAAAGTGGGCACCAATTCCTACTTCTGAAAGGTTTTTAACAAATTAGGGTCAAGTAGTTTTTAAATACAGCCTATAACTTTAGCAATAGGCCCCCGTAACTAGCAGCCACATGTTCAAATAAAAAAACTATTTTGTTGCGCCAAGAGAGTTCGATCCCTTGACATCTCACAGAAGATGGACGATACCAACCGCTGGACTAATCAGCTGTTTCATTGCAAGTGATATCACTTTTAATAACTTTATCTTATATTATTGTTTTACTTATTATTTATATATATATATATATGTAATAAAAAAATTCGACGAAGCGGTGTCCCGTGACACCGCTTGGGTCCATATAAATCCGCCCCTGTTTAAAGGTCTAATTATTCTTAAAAATATTCCATTGGTAGTTATTTTGAAAATAGGTGATATCATATAAATAATAATTTCGAATAATAATATAGTTTATAGGTGATATGATCTTTAAAATGTAACTTAAACATTTTTTCATGCAAAAGATGAATGATACGTTACTTTTTTTACCTCAAATATTCGGGAAATTAAATGAAATCTGCTCATTCTATACAATACTAGTGGCCATAGGCCCGTGGTAAACACGGGCCCAACACAATAAGTTAAAACATTGTAAAAAATTTATGAGGCGCCCAATTTTGTGCCACCGATTGGATCTGTACTTACTTTTTTTAGTAACTTTAGATACATACATTTTTCTCTTCCAAAATGGATTTATTAAATTTATTGTTGCTTTAATAATTTGATGATTGAGATTTGTTCTTATTATATTTGAAAGTTAAGTTTCAAATTTGAGCTCATGTGGAGTAGATTTGGGTGTTGAATCGTGTGTTGGATTATTAAAATTCGAAAAACACGTTTATGTTTCAAAACTTCAGAGTTTGAATCTGAAGTTATTTGAAGTTGTATTGAAAAATTGAACTATTTAAGATTTCAGATTTTGAATTTGAAGTTGTACTAAAAAATTGAACAACTTAAGATTCGAATTTGTGAAGTTGCAATTGAAAGATAGAAGAACTTCATATTTGAAATCCGAAGTTGCTTTGAAGAGCTTGAACTACTTAAGATTTGAATTTCTGAAGTTGCAGTTGAAAGATAGAAGAACTTCAAATTTGATTTCTGAAATTGCACTGAAGAGATTGAACTACTTCATATCCGAGTGGGTCCACTTTGCAAAGTTTTGTAATATAAATTCGACGGTTGCCCCAAAAATAGTTATATATGCAAATGCCCCTAAAACATTTCTTAATCCTATGAGCAGTAATGCAAAAAAATTACAGAAATATAACACTTTTTTGGGTGGTCTTTTAACGTTTGACCTATGTTTGCTTCATATGCAGAATTTTAAGGTCAAAAGCTAAAAGTGTTGTACATAGGGTAAGCGAAAGATAACACTTGTTAAAAGTTAAAATTTTACCCATAGGATAAGCTGGAACAAAAATTCAAGACCATCAACTTTAAGGACGGTTTGTATACTTCATCCATAGTAGCGGCATAAATCAACATAGTTGGGTAATGTAGTTTTTGTCAATATAATATAATATGAAATTATTTCAAACTTTTGTTTCAGAGTATATAATTCATTTGTTTTAATTCTTTTATAAAAGCTTCCTAAATATGATCAACTTATACTTATTAGAATAGTAGATACAAAATAATTTTAAGAATCCTCCCTTTTTCCCAATATTGGAACGTTAAAACTCAATTCGAACTCATTCCCCCTGTTAGGTCGAATTGGGAGGCTCGGCTAAATGTCGATCTCTGCGATTCTCATTTATCTCTCTTCTCTCGATCTTCCTGATGAGTATGTGCAGGCAGTTGCCATTTACAGTTATTAGGTGACATTGGTTTTACATGTTTCTCCTTTTCCTTATCCCACCTTTTCTACTCATATTCCTGTGTTTAATATTCTTAATTTTTATATTTACCATGCGTAAGTGTTGCTGGATTAAAGTATCTTAAATTGGGTAAACTATTTGGTCGATCGATTTCTTCTTTGTTTTTCGAGGTACAAGTTGGGATGCCGATGGGTGGCTTTGGGGAGAGGATTTTTATTTATGTGCTTATCCTTTAGAAAGGATAGATAAAAACATATTCTCTGTTTGAAATTATAGGATTTTTGAATTCTTTTGGTGGAATGAGTGTCTACTGCATTGCGTATTATTTTTTTTTTTTTTTGTTTAATTGCTGGATAATTGTCTTGTGCATTTTATAGATGCATGTGAATTGTATTTGATTGACATTCATATCATGCATAAAAATTTATGCTCTTCGACAGATATTCGAAAATTTATGATTCACCGACTATATACGCAAGGGCGTACGCAGATATTTTTGTAAGAGGTGTCGATATTTAAAGACATGAGCAAATAAACAGACTATAGTAACAACGACATAGTGAAAGAAAAATACAACTTAGATACTTTACTAAAAATTTCCTCGACATGCTTTCATCATTAAAGTTGCAGAATGAGAAGCTTTCTTATTGTTGAAATTAAAAAAGAATTTGTTCCAGTATGATTTAAATGTTATTGTCACTATAATAGACGAAATAGACCATCAACCTATTGGTTTTTGTTTGCTCTTACCAGTTGGAAGAGGTGGTTCAACCCTTGTTGACATCAAATTTTACATCGAATAGAGGCTCAAAAACTGTAAAGAAAATGCAACTACAGAAGTTCAAACCACCATTCAATAATACGGAATAGTACCACTATAGTAGTGAACTAATGCAATATTTCACGACAAACAGTGTCATTTGCATTATTTTGTATAATTAAGATGTTTGGATTTCAATTGACTGCATATCAATATCTAATAAAAAATTTCGCCGAAGCGGTGTCGGATGATACCGCATAAGCCAAAGTGCGTCCGCCCAATAATATACGGAAGGTCCTTACATATATGTACTGAAACTTGATAAGGAAGTTCGTCTTTCTGTATCAATTTTCGTACACGTAAAAGTTAGAATTTATAGTTTTGTGCTTTAAATTTTAAATTTCAAAACTCATGCGTTAAAGTTCATCGCCCTTTTTATGGCTCGATCAACTGTTACCGCAAGGCCTATGATGTTGGGTTTTATTTTGTTTTTCTTTTTCAATTTCCTGTTTTCTTTGTTGATCTTCACTTTTGTTCTTTTCTAGATTCTAATTTTTCTGGCGTGAGGGGAAATAAATCATAACTTTGGTCAGGATTTTATCTTTACATATTTATTTCTTCATTTATAATTTATTAGTTATGTTCCTTTTTCAGTAGTATATTTTTAAATCCTCAGAAGTAATTGTGCGAAAAATTGATGTCAGAGGTAGCTTTTTAAATTTATCAAAAATAGTATTTTGCCCTTGTTTGTAATTCAATCGGCTATAATATCGTAGTCCTACAATGACCATTTATGATTTTTTTTTAAACAGAAGAAGGCAAAGACACGAGGAACCTTTTCATTTCAAGTGGAGTATCAATTGCAATTCATTTTATTATTCTGTTAATAAACACAAAACATAATTTTACCTTTTTGAGTTATGTCAAACAAGATACCAGTTGTCAACTTTTAATAGGCGGCTCTAAAAAAAACATAATGATCCCTAAAAAAGAGAAAGACTTAATATTACCAAAATAGACTCAGCTGTGACATCATTTAGAGAAGGAAAACCTAAGAGAGGTCCAATATAGTAAATGGTTAAAATAGGGAAAGAAAGTGTCCTCTGAACAATGACGACACGTGTCCAAGGCTCCAAGCAGAAGATGTAAACTAAATTACAGTTAATTTTTGTATGCATCAAATCCACTCAAAGAACGTGGAATGCTAGAAAAGCCTTCATGCCAGACAGGCATGTTGATGAAACAGGCACTTCAAGGAATTCAACTGTGGCTTCTAATATAGGAGAAATTATTGGGTACTATTAGTTATTATTTTCATTTTTGAGTAACCATAAAATAATTGAAGGTTATTCTTAATATTTTGAAAATACATGTAATTTGGTGGGGAAAGTGCACGGTTAGGCACTAATAACACATGTATTTACTTTTAAGCCACTGTTTAAAATATTTTTAGTCTTTAGCCACTGCTTTAATAAACTTTACCTGCCCGGACGAAAACACCCTTCTGCTCATAAAAGTTCAGGATCAAGTGTCCTTAACTTTTGAAGTTGCAACTGTAAGTTCAGGACTTCAGGACTACATGTCCTTAACTTTTGAACTTGCAACTCTAAGTTCAGGACTTCAGGACTACATGTCCTTAACTTTTGAACTTGGAACTCGAAGTTGAGGACCACCTGTCCTTAAGTTCTGTGCTTTAACTCTAAGTTAAGGACTACTTTTCCTTAACTTTTGAACTTGTAAGTCTAAGTTCAGGACCTATTGTCCTTAATTTTTTTGCTTGTTAGTCTAAGTTGAGGATCAAGTGTCCTTAACTTTTGAACTTGTAACTGTAAGTTCAGGACCAAGTGTCCTTAACTTTTGAGCTTGTTAGTCTAAGTTCAGGACCTATTGTCCTTAACTTTTGGGCTTCTTAGCCTAAGTTCAGGACCTATTGTCCTTAACTTTTGAGCTTGTTAGTCTAAGTTCAAGACCAAGTGTCCTTAACTTTTGAACTTGTAATTCTAAGTTCATGACCAAGTGTCCTTAACTTTTGAACTTGGAACTCGAAGTTCAGGACTACCTGTCCTTAATTTCTGTGCTTGTAACTCTAAGTTAAGGACTATCTGTCCTTAATTTATGTGCTTGTAACTCTAAATTAAAGACCAAGTGTCATTAATTTTTGAACTTCTAACTCTAAGTTCAGGATCAAGTACCTACCACAACCACGACTCTTTATGTCTTCTGCTATGCATTTTGTGTAACCCGATAACACCTCGAATTGCACTGACTATATTTGCCTCGCCAAAAAAATATCAAGATTAGCCACTTTCAGAACTCAATAAAAATGCTTCTAGAATCATTTAGGTGAAATTTAAAGAAAAAAGGAACGATATAAGCAGGAACTGAAATACATGAGTAGTTTCAACAAGAGAAGAAATATTGTTAAGAAAGAGCATCCAGGGTTTTTAACGATTTGAAGTTTGGACATTGACGAGTAGCAGATTCAGAATATCTTTTCAGATCAAATTAGTTCCAGTATTTGCAGAAGACTGGATAGAGACTTTTATGTCAAACCCGGATTTGATAGAGGGTTTGGGAAGGAAAAGAGATAGAAGAAAGGGCAACACAGTCTTTTCATATTAATTTTAATAGGCTAGTGGCTACTATTGCTAAGCATTAAAAATGCAGGATAAAAAGTAAATAACACTTTAAAAAGTGGCTACCCACACAATATTTACTAATTTGGTGCTGATGGTGTTATTTTACAAACCCAAAAGAGAAGGGGTTAATCGGAATTTACTCTTGAAATAATTTTTCTTAGGGTTTCAAATTCATTTTCGATCTCTAGGTTTCAACTTCAACAGTTCACCGTGATTTCAATGGCGTAACTTCCGTTCGCCGGCGAGTTATTTCCGTCACCGTCACAAACTCCGCGCTGGCCCTTTCTCCCGGTACGACACGTTTCAGAATTTTATTTCTATAGAAACTTTGATTCCTTTTTTGATGTTGTCGTTCTAGCCCTAATCGCGAGAACGAACATTTTAATATTTTTTTAATTATAATTCTGTGCATATTCAAGTATTATACTGGTTGTATTTTTATATAAGTACCCAGTATTTTTTAAAAAGTAAGGTATAAGAACAAATACTTCCTATTTCTAGATTCCTTGCGAAGGTTTTGGCCTTAAAGGTATTTTGAATAATTTATGCATCCGTATTGGAGTACTTTTTTTTTCACAACTCAGCTTTTCATTTTCTGAATAGAGTAGATGCTTCTCTAGATAGGAGAGCTCAACTTTCCTATTCAGAGTCAGGAAGTGGTGAACCTATTGATGGGTGCACCAAAGCAGAAGTGGACATCAGAAGAAGAAGCTGCCCTTAAAGCTGGTGTAGCAAAGTATGGGGTTGGAAAATGGAGCACCATACTCAAAGATCCAGAGTTTGCTGCTGTGTTGCGCTCTCGCTCAAATGTGGATCTGAAGGTACCAGGCATAACAACGTTGTCAAATCTTGTCTTGTCATTCTGTGGGAAGCTTATTTAGCCGGCTGGAGTGTCTTATATTCATATAGTAGCATTGAATGTCTCTTCTGTCTGGTTGTGCTTTTTTTTCCCTTTCTTTCTTTTTTCCGCTTGTTTTGGTTAGTAAAAATTGCCTTGATGGGCTTAGTTTTGCTTGGGCAGGATAAATGGAGAAATCTACATGTCATGGCAAATGGTTTGGGGTCTCGGCATCAAGCGTCTCGGCATCAAGGAAGGGTTGTCTCTAAAAGTGTCCAGCCTAAGCAGAAGCGTGATGGCAACTCCTTGCTTGTTAGCACCGCGGTTGAGAATGATATAGAAGTTCTTGATCCTAAACCTCTTGCATCGTCTGGTGATGCACTGGAGGATGTTGGTTGTGAAAAAACGATTTGTAGGTAATTATACTACCGATTCACTTAAATCTTCCTTATTCAAATCTTGGATTACGCAGATCTCATAAAGCTTGTGCTTTTGGAGAGCTTGGTGGAGAGAACTCATTTGTTGACTTCTTCGATTCTGAAATCACTTTCTAAGAAATTAGTGTACTCCATAAGATATCTAACCAAAAAATTTGAGATGTTGAAGCACTCAAACCTTTTAGAAATAAACAATCAAAGCACATTTTGAGACTCAACTTTCATGCATTTAATATTTAATAATATTGTTCATCAAAGAACATCTGTAAGTGAGTATCTATTATAATAGTGTCTTAAGTACCTTTAAATAAGGAATTTAATATGGAAACCATATAGTTCTGGAAGTCAGCTTGCTCTTTTATGGAAAGGTTTTGTAACCAACTTGGTATTTTCTAATTATCGATAAAGGGAGCTCTCTGTTCATATTTTATAGTGGTATCTTGGGCAAAATGCGTAGCAGCTGCCTTCTATTCATCACTTTCCTTGTTTCCTCTGAAATCAAATGTGGGTTCCTCTTTCTAGGGGGAAGTCCTGCAAAGCTGAGAAAAAAGGATCGTGCTTCAAGCGGAAGAATGTTACTGTAGCTTAGAGCCTGAAGTTTAGTTTATATTTTTCTTGAGAAAGCCTTAAGTTTCAGTTTATGTATTGATGCTCTATTTTTCGTTTCTCAGTTGTTTGGTTGCGAACTCTGTTTATGTAAGCATAGCATAACTGCTTTCAAGCTTGGATAAAGGATGGTTGCGGTAGGTTAACAACCAATACAAAAAGAAGATAGCTATAGTGAAATCTTCTGAATATGACTTGAATAGAGTGCAAAATGGGTAGAGGATTCATATAGTACAGACCGTAGTTCATTGATTGGTTGATTTGTTTTTTGGGAGTTTCATGTGAAATTGTTGGAGTAATTCTTCATGTAAAATAATGTTGTTTTATTGTAACATGGATACATGGCTCATTTTTCTCGTTTTTGTGTTACAGTGCAAATGTGGGCAAAACTGATTATCCTCTTCCCCACTAATTTGTTTTTCTTTCACCGTATTCTCTTTATTCTTTTAAAAGCAAATTAAGTCCTTGATTAGATGTTGTCACCTACTATGAAGCATAGCTTTTTAAATTGATTTTATATCTTTTGGTCATTAAAACTGAAATAACAAGTTCGGAATTCATGTAATCTAGTTCTAATAATTGCCTCTTTCTTTTTCCCTTCTTAGAAATACTCGCTTTGGGAGTTGCCTTTTAATATTATAATGTACCAAACTTGTGTGTGCTTCTTCATTGATTATAGATTGGACGATCTTATATTGGAGGCAATAGCCAAATTGAAGGAACCACATGGATCTCGTCGAAATGCAATTTTGTCTTACATAGAGGTAATTTTCCTCTTTTTTAGCATATTTGATATAAGTCTATATGAGTAAAAAGAGTTGGAAAATCTTGTAGATTTGGTATATTTTGTTTAGTTATTGTTTTGTTAACATGTCCCACATTGATGGAGGAGCAGGTTATTGTCTCCTTATATGGTTTTGGACAATTCTCACGTCGTGACTCACGAGTCATGAGTTAGTTTTTGTGGTTGAGTTAGGCCTTGGGCCATCCATGTTATGTTGTCCGCACTCTAAATATCCTGTCCTAGATGTACTCGAGAAGCGGGGAGGGGTAGGGAGTCGTTAGAGTATCTTAAATTGTTGCGATGAAATGAGTTATCTCCTTATATGGTTTTAAACAATCCTTACCTCATTAGTTTTGGAGTTGAGTTAGACCCAAGAACCATCTCCTTTTAACTTAATCTAATTTGTCACTTTTTTTTGGGGTGGGTGGGGGGTGGGGGGCTACTTCAATGTGTATACACTTTTAAGTTCTGCCTAGTTAAGCATTAATGGAAATCCTCCTCGAACACAAGCGTGAGAAGAAAGACCCTTCCTAACACAACATTAGTCTTTGATAAGTGGTGATAGGGAGTTCAGAAAGGATATGATCATAGATAGAGACTTCAACCTGTGCGGTGTTAAGGGCGGATATAGCCAAGTGGCTCTTAGCTACGTGTATACGGTTTCTGCCTAGCTAAGCATTTCTAAGACAGTTTTCTTTCTCTTCAAACCAAAATCCTCCTCGAACACAAAAACATGAGAAGAGACACCCTTCCTAACACAACAATAGACTTGCCAGTATAGCATAGGAAAAGCTTCTCTTTGATAAGGTCATAGGGGAGTCAAAAAGGATTTGATCAAAGAAAGAGACTTCAACCTATGCAGGGTAGGGGTGGACGCAGCCATGGATCAACGCAGTATTGTGGATCCACCATGCGCTGATTCAACCCCGTTGTTCGCCGTTCGTTCTATGTTATTTTCAAGGAGCTAAAAAGATGTTGTTATGAGTCAAGGAGATAAACACTTTGAAATTGTTTCTTGATCTAGCAAGATAACAAAAAGGACAAATATCAATTGCCTTTCTCCCTTTTATTAGCGAGACTCTTTCCCTTGGCAATCCAGTGTCAAACAGGATTGCTTGATTGAGTACTGTCTGTATCTTAGTTGCTGATTTTATGCTGGAATTTTTTCTTAACTTAGCTTTTCACTAGTTGGCAATGCCTTTTGATGCTTCATCCCGCAAACTTGAGCACTCCGAGAACTACTAGGGAGGGATAAGAACTAAGAAGTACCCAAGCAGAAGCAAAAAAAGGGTGGAAACTGGATAGAAGTGCAGGAAAGGTGTCAAGACTTGCTAGAGGTTAAACATGCCTGTGCTGTTTGTATCTTGGTAGCTGATATTTATGCTGGAATATTTTCTTAACTTAGCTTTTCACTAGTTGGCAATGCCTTTTGATGCTTCATCCCGCAAACTTGAGCACTCCGAGAACTACTAGGGAGAGGGATAAGAAGTTAAGAACTAAGAAGTACCCAAGCAGAAGCAAAAAAAAGGTGGAAACTGGAAAGAAGTGCAGGAAAGGTTATGCAACCCAGCCCAACATGGTCAGTAGTGGGATGGCCAAAGGGATGCTGGGGGTGGGTAGTGGTAATTTTCCTTTCCCACTTTTTCAATTCTAATCAGGTTGCCCATCATACACTGGATATCTTTTGTTTTCGACATAGACTGATGTAAGTGAGCATGCTTATGCTTCTTTCTGAGAGATTAAGATGAGATTTGCTTATGAAGAGTGAAGTTGCTCACTTGGGCAAGATTTCTTTGTACTATAATTCCCGACAAAAAGGTTCACTCTATCCTTATTTTTTTTACTCTCTGTTTAACTTGATGATACAAGTGTATGGACCTTGTAAATGCTGGTATATTCTTTTCATTACTTCAGATGACTTTCACTCAACAATTTTTGTTTGTTTGAAGGAGTGGTATACGGCACCTCCAAACTTTGAAAGACTGTTGGCAGCAAATTTGAAGGCGTTGACTGATAAAGGAAGACTGATAAAGGTAATCAACCTGAGAAACTGGTGGAAATGATGAAGAATCTCTCTCTCTCCCTTCTTTATGTTCAATGGAGATGCATTTACTGCATGTAGAAGACATGTAATGCCTGTTCCCCATTATTATAGCATTAACATCAGTGCATGGCTGGTAACTGAGGAGAATCGGCGTTGTATGTTGAATTGTCCTTGTTGTAGTTCTTTTCTTTATCATTATTTGGCTCTTTTTTCCTGTTGCTGTGGGATGGAAGTTGACGATGAGATTATCATGCCCCCCAAAAGATGTAAGTTTCATCGCACTACAAAAGATTTACTAAAAGGGCCCTTAGGGCTTTGCTCTAATGCTAAAAGCGCAACAAATGATGGGTGGGGTACGCACACATCATGGGATCGAACGCTCTGTAGACAAAAGCTTTGTATTTAAGTGGAAAAGGTAGAGAAGCGAGCCCATTATCCATCGAGTTTTGAACCGACGCCTCTGGCCCTCAGAAATTTCTTGGCTATCCAAAAAAAAAGAACTAGTAACAGAAAGGTGGTTGTGTCCGTTGATGGCATCATGAAGAAGATTGGTAAGGATCAATTTTAGTGAAGGAAGCCATGTTTTATCATTTCAAGACTTGGAAGATCATGCTTCTATTCAGACATAAGCTTCATTTTACTATCACATCATGCCTAAGCTAGGAAGGGGTAAGGCAACGAGAGAATGAAATGCCTGAATTTATTCTTTTTGGTTTGTCGTTCTATTCTCATTCAGTTATGCATCCTCTCCTGAATCATAGTGCGTCTTCTTGAGTTCCAAGACTGACACTGAGGTCTTGGATACTTTGGTTAGAGTTTTATCAACAATGCTCAAAAAGTCATATGCCTGGAAGCACACATTGTTGGTTGCAGAGTAAAATTCGTCGCATGATTTGCAATTGCAAACATTTAATGTGGGAACTTAACATTACTTTCTTTCGGTTCTTTTATCTTCTTTCTTGTAGAGGAATTGGCAAACACTGTGAGTAGAAAGCCCAATTATGGATGTACTAGTCTGTTTCTTAATCTTGGATCTTGACGCTTCCATCCACATTGATAGGTAAGGCATCAATACAGGATTGCCCCGAGTAGATTATCATCTGGTACCAAGGGAGGCCATCTCCCTTTTCTTATGGATGGAAAGGAGGATTCCACTATTATAGAAAAGAATGAAATTAGAATACGGACTAAAGCACAAGTTGATGTGGAGTTAGAGCAGATGAAGAGCATGACTGCAGAGGAGGCTGCTGCAGCTGCTGCACAAGCAGTTGCAGATGCTGAAGCTGCCATTGCTGAGGCGGAACGGGCGGCAAGGATTGCAGAGGCGGCTGAAGCAGAGGCAGAGGCAGCACAGTGTTTTCATGAAGTTACATTGAAGGCATTGCAGCATCAAACCATCTCCGTCTGGTAAGCTAATCTTTCAAGAGACCGCTTACTGTGGTTGTTGAGACTTTTTCTTTGTAATACCATAATGAGCCATGAGATATTAATTATCTAAACTTTGTACTGTTAAGTGATGATATGCAGTTTGATTTTCTAAGTGTTAAAATATCACAGAGAGAAAGTTAATTAATTGTCAGAAATACTAAAAAGCAAGCTTGATAACATATTGAACATTAATAAAAATGTTCAATTTTGCAAAATTTTGGGTTCAAAATGCTGCACGTATTTGCTAAACTAGGGGTTTTGCAAGTATTAGATGTCTATTTTGGTGTATGGGACTGCTGAAAACTTGAGATGCTTTTCGTTGTGCATTAGCACACACCTTTCCACAAACTTGCGTGAAGACCAACTTGCTAGATTCTTACGTACTCACATTATACATTGACTCTTGATTCAATATATAGTATTGGTCCCGATTGCATAATGGATAGGCAATTTCATTAAGTTGTTGTAAGTTTTCAATATAGATCTACCACACAAGGTAGGGTTAAGGTCTGCATACACTCACCCTTCCAGACCCCACTTGTGGGATCACACTGAGTATGTTGTTTAAGTTTTCAATATAGAATTTTGGTATCTGGTATACTGCTCTAGGAGCTACTAGCGCGCGTCATCATGTTAAGAGTCGATCATATTTGCTTAATTTGGAGGATGGAATGCTATCGGCCTGAATACTGCTATCTTGTTAATACAAGGTCGCGAATTGTTGTTGTGTTCACTTCTGTAGTTTCCGAATTTTTAATTTGCTTTTGAAGTTTCTCAATATGCCGTCGTTATGCAAAAAGTTTGGGAAAATACATAAGTTGCCCCATGTAGTTGTCTGAAAAAGTCAGCTATATACTTAACCTTTTACGAGTGATCTAATACCCCCCTATTCTTATTTTTTGTGGAACTAATTACCACCCTGGAACTGATATACCCAATTGCATAATGAAAGGTGTTCTACACTCGCCCCACGTCATTGCCATGTCACTGCCATATCAGTATAATGTCAGATTTTAAAAAATATAGCCCACCACCAAACCGCCATAGCACCACCACCGTTGCCACAGCACTATCATTAAACCCGCATCTTCCGCCACCAATAATCATAACCACATCAATCCACCAAATTCGCCACACCCCACCACTATGCCTGCCATACCACCAAGTCTCTGGGGAATATCCACCGTTGAAAATTGATTCAAACTTATCATTTTGTGCTTATCACATATGTGTTTACTAATTGGAGTTCAAAATCAATTTAACTAATGATTGGAGAAGATTGGAGGTAAAAAAAATTTGAAACCTCCATTGTTGGTCCTTTGAGAGTTCGAATCAGTGAAAGGGAAATTGGGTTAGATAATTAAGATAAAAAATATGAATTGAAGCCCTTTTTTCCGAAAATATTTTGGTTTTGATATTTGGGTTTATCTCTAAAGAAGTAGTATCAACGGAATTAGAAGATGGAGATTAGGAGCTTTTGGGTTTGGAGTGACAAGAAGAAGAGTAGTAGTTGAAGAGATAATGATGGGGGTAGGGGAAGACACTTTCTTTTTCTTTTTTACTTTTTATTTTAGCCTTGAATTTTGACTCCCACTCGCCCCTCTTTTTTTTTTTTTTTAATTTATTTTTTGTCACATCAGCTTTTAGGGTGGTATTAATTCCACAAATAATAAGAATAAGGGGGTATTAGGTCGCCCGTAAAGGTGAAGTATATACTTTTTTCGGACAACTACAAGGGGCAACTTATAATTTTTTACCAAAAAGTTTCTCAATATGTTTTATCACAACTAATGGTTGCTGTGAAATTGATTTAAGATTTATTGATGTACAGTAAGACCTTAATTAAGTTGCCTTTAGGGTTTCATTTACTTATAAAGCCGTTCCTTGTTTATGCAGATGACATTAGCTGGATCCACCACTTGGGTTTTCATCTTCAGTACAGTTGGCAATATATTGTTGATATGCGGATAGAATTGTAAATGTTGTGATTTTGTTCCATTGCTAGTGATCTTAATTATAGCATTGAGGTCATATTGAAGTTTATACGCAAAAGGAGTACAGAAATCCTTTTTTGGTGGTTGACATGCAAAATGTATATCCTCAAAATGTCGCTAACCTTTTCTTTATTTTTAAAATAAATATTTTGTCTTTGGTGCGGAGTGGCTGTATAATAGAGCTGGTTGAATTGCCGTTGATCCACAAAAAATCTTGATGAACCTATGATTCAGAAAATATTTGTTTTGATTGTGGTTTCAGGCTTCTTTCAGTTGTGAGGCATGCAGTTAGTATACCATTTGATCAAAAGTAGTATTGTACTGGTCCAATTCCAGCTCTATCTTGAATTTTACATAAAATCTTTTGATAGGCCAGTTCGATTATCCTACAACCTATGTTACACCGTCAATCTTACTACAAAGTAAGAAGCGTTGTGAAATTTACTCTGAACAGAAATGATCTGGCAGCCAAGCTCGATACGAGGACGGGCAAAAATTGACGGCCGAGCAAGACAATCACAAAGAATAAAACATGAGCAGCTCTTTCAATCGAGAGATAATTTAATTTACAATACAATAGCACTCTGGAGAAACCAGCAGAAGGAACCAACAGCCTCACAAATTTCACACACAAAATCAGTAGCAGAACAAAGGGGGTCATCTTTAACTCTTTGATTTTGAGTGCTTAACAAGCCACTCAATGACTGAGTCAATATTGGTGGAATTTTTGCATGATATCATATAGCAGCATACCTCTCTGTCAGTTATAGACTTCAATCCCCTGCACAACAACCAATTGTTCTTTAAAAGAGTACATAGATAAAGAAATATAATATGTAAGCCCTTTGTTTTATTTAATTACTTCATTTCCAATTTTACCATACTAAGGGGAAAGATATGTACTTGGTAGGTAAATTTCCCAAATATTACTCGAATTAATCCAAATGCAAACTAAAACCAAGCATATTCATACAATTTTCTCTGCTTACATTTCATCAGTCAAAGCCTGCTTGGACAGGGCTCCAGGCTTGTCAATCTTGTTCCCCAATACTAGCAATGGAATACCACTCAATGATGGCTTGTTCAACAGGTCATGGAGTTCACTTTTGGAAATGCTAAGGTTATCATGATCAGCAGCATCAACAACATAACTGCAGAGAAGGAAAGTAAAGAAGTCACAAACATAATACTCGAGCCTAATAGATGGAAAAGAAATACTCAAGCCTATAAGTATAAAATTGCATCTTCAGAAGTGTTTCAAATCCTTGAAAATTTTGGCAAAACCCTCCTGAAGTCCATGATTAGCATTGTTCTTTCAGAATTAAGAAATGGCTGAAAGCAAGGAATTCTCCAACCCAGGCTGTGAAATAGATCCATCAAAAGCCTGATAATCTGATCTACAGCTTTTCCTAAACAAATGATGGTTGGATGAAACTAAATTCAACCGAATACCAAAAAGACCTCCAATCTACTATTTGCTGTCTCCTACAATTCTATGACTTGCAAGAGTATTATGATACCATGCATACGAAAAAATCACTCATAAGTAGACAAGGTGAAGTGAATTAGCTGATAAAAGAAATCTGGAATATAATTGAATTCATTTACTTCTAAGTGCAGAAGTTCAGTGAGGTAAGTAAAGCAGCTTCAACTTAAAGCAACTGAATAAGCAAGAGAATAGATGCATACACTATAGCTGAAACTGCACGACAGTATCTTTCCCACATACTACGGAATCTGGGTTGACCTCCAAGGTCCCACAATTTTATAGTGACATTACCTTTAGTCACTTTCCGCATGTTAAATCCCACCTGAATATCCAGTAATTCTCATATTATTATCAAAGAACCTAGTAACATTGAAAGTGGTATCACATAATACTAAAAGATAGAATAGCTCCTTTAAGATGAGAACTTACCGTTGGTATCATATCTTCACTATATCCACCAGTCTAGAATGACACAAGTGGAGCAAATTTAGTAAGTCATCGCGTATATGGACATAAAAGGTTAACGACAGATGTAAATACTGGCACTAGAAAAGGTTGTTAGTTATCTACTCACAGCTATAACATTTACAAGTGAAGTTTTCCCTGCATTTTGCAGCCCTATCAAAGAAAGCTCCATTTCCTGTTTAAAGAAAAGGCTGCAAAATGAAGACGTTTATAAGGAATCATACAGGTGCTACACAAGTGTGAATGCAAAAAGAAACTCTAACAGTTTTATTATACTAGTCCAGCTTAGAATCAAGATGACAGTAAGTTTCCTTTGTATAAATCTAAAGTGAATATTCAAATTGGAGTAACTGCACAAAAAATTTATACAAACACCAATAGCAATCAAATAGTCTGTACACAGCACACTGTGTAAACTATTTATGCAATGAGGAAAGATGGATAAACAAAAATAAAAGCAATAATTAGTCCACTGGTGGGGTTCATCAACCCAAACCTCTTGAGCTTGATTGGACGTTCAGAGTTTCAAACATATGATGGAACTCAAAGAAAACTCTCAACTGCTGAAATGTACTAAAGGAACAAAGGGCCACTGACAATTCTCTTGACAAATTGTTTCTATCTCTCAGTATCTAGACCTTTTTAAGACTAGAAAAAGGTATCCCAACCATACGGCCATGTGACACAACATCTTGTACTAACAACTACACGTTGTGTTTCTAACAAGAGGCAGTCTCGATGACCAGGCAAAAATCTGTCTACAGAAACAAACCTCAAGAAGTCACACACGTTGAGTAAGATAAGCCTAATTCAGGAACCAGAACGTGGTAGAAAAATCTGCAAATATTGGTGAAGAATTACGATAATATTATCGAATGGAACATATATAAAATAAGACGACATGATGCCAAGAGAATAAAGTTTTTGTCAGAGAGATTGATTAAAAAAACGTAAAAATGAGACCATCTAATGCATAGAAACACTACTTCCAGCTCGTAGGATATCTTTGGGGTGCAGAAGACATGTTTGCAAGTTGCAATTTAGATCGGACCACCTGGGGAAAGAACTTAAATTTTTTTAACATCCATCTTTCGCATGTCTTTGATGTTAGTGATAGAAATTTCTACGATACAACAGGCATATCAGTAAATGATCATTATTACCAAAGTTTAAGAACAAAACTCACATCGGAACCTCATCAAACCAAAGACTCATTAATCTAAAATATAATTCACTAACAATTACAGCTCATCATGTAACAAGCAAAACAGAAACTCATTAACCTAAAATGTGATTGATGGCAAATTTTGCTCATCCTGAAACAAAAACCAAAAAAAAATCCACAGCTCATCTCATTCAAATTCCAAATATGACCAAAACACATGGAGAACACAAGCATCGGCAATCATAATTGACGTTAAACTGATAACATACCAAAAAATCAAAATACACAATTATAAACAAAACAAAGAAGAAGAACACAGCAACAACTATGTCTCGGTCTCAAGCAAGTCGGGGGCGGGTATATGAATTTCTTCAACGGTCAAAAATTACAACCTAGAGCTCGCAAAATATTTAATCAACTACAGACTCAATCTCACAATTAGTTGAAATCGACTATATAAATCTTAATATATCCATTAATTCGTTCGACTTGATATGAAACATAAAAAGTACCTTCGAAGCCAATTGAGAAAAGCTTCCCACAGACCCATGGATTACGCGAAAACGAGAGAGGGATAATATACAAATATAATCTCACTATAAACACCGATCTCTCACTCTCTCCCTCTCTGTATATGTTTTGAATTGAGACTTTAGGAAACTTTACTCTTCTCCTGGCTACTGTTTATCGTACCTGCGTTCAAAAATTGATATGGGAATGAAATGATTGTGTGGTAGAAGAATACAAATTTTGCTATAACATTTGCCCCTTGAATTCAAATGGAATTACGAAATAGTCACTGCTTCATTTTGCTGTATGATGAGTACGTGGACCAATATGATATCATAAAGCTGTTATAAAAAGAAAGCACTCGCGAAAAAGTGTGCGTGAAAGTCACGACCAATGAGATTTTAAGTTGATTGGCGGAGGGTGAGATTTTGCAGATGATTATTGGACGATGCATGGTCCGTGAACCTGTCGTCGCTTAGTGGACGCACGTTAATCCGACAAGTGAAATCCACGCGTGTGTTCTGATGTCCGGTTTTTATTGGTCATAAAACTGTACAATGTCCCAACTTTATTTCTGTGATTTTGGAAGGAGTTTAATTTTGTGCACTAATTTGCGTGCTCTCTGATTTTTTGAAATTCAAGACTTATAGGTCCCGTTTGGTTATGAGTTTTGTCAAAATAAATTTAAGATTTATTTTCAAAACTCATATTTGGCATAAATCTTGCCCATATTTTGGCCAATCCCAAATTTCAAATCCCAAAATCAGCTATTGAGCTGATTTTGGGCCAAAATCTCAAAACTTGGGAATTATATACATGTTTTTCCAAAATAAAGTTGTAAAATTTGTTTTGAAAACGTATGTCCAAACACATTTTCATCTTCAAACCGAACTTCACCCAAATCAGATTTTTTCAGAATAAATTTGGGATATATGGCCAAACGCTAGCATCATATACTCCACATTTAACACAACCCATTAAGAAAATACAAACTCATAGTTAAAAAAATAATGTACTCAGTAAATTAACTTTAAGTAATTTTTACCTTGACACATTGGAATATGTAAATAAGAGCAAATTTTGAAAAAATAAAATTAATTCTTTCCTAATTATGTAAATCAATTTATTTTGGACCAAAATAAAAAGGTAAAACGGAAAAGGTCCAGATGTGTCCCTTTACTACTGGAAATTAGTTATCAGTACCTCCCTTATACTTTTTGAAGGTATTTGCCCTCGACGTTACCTATTTTAATATTTTACCCCTCAACCCACCTTTTAAAAGGACACGTGGCGACTATTTGTTGATACCCGATTAAATGGCTGACCCATATCAAAGTTCGGATCTTTCCTCCCAAATCCGACTAACCCGTGTGCCCTCTTTTTTTTTTTTTTGGTATCATAAATTTTTTAAAAATGTGCTATAATCATCTTGAACATGCCTTCCATCCATTCTTCCTCGTACCCGTCAAAAAACTGACAAACTCATATCAAAAGCTCGTTGAATCTCGGTCAATTCCATTCAAAATTCCAGCATCTTATTAACACAATACGCATATTCATCGTCCCCAAACAGAACTCTAAATCCATTTCACTCAATATCAAGAAACTTGCCGGAGGCGATCATATTCAT